TATTTTTCCCCTAAAGCCCCAGTACATAGTTGTATGTCATAGTTGCACATCCTTCTAGTTGCTGTATGTGGGACGCCGCCTCAGCATGGCCGGAGAAGTGGTGCGTCGGTGCACGCCCGGGATCCGAACCCGGGCCGCCAGCAGCGGAGCGCGCACACTTAACCGCTAAGCCACGGGGCTGGCCCCTGTGATGAAGCTTTGATTGACCAGATGAGCGTGGCATGAAAGACCAGAATGCCGTAATAATGCCACTTCTTAGTGGTGTTCGTTCTGTTTCAAATTAAAGGAATTTAGGATGGTATAGCAAATCATTTGTGGTCCTTCACAATAAACTTTTATTTTTTGAGAGGCTTAGCCTTATCAGCTTTGAAATACAGGTACTAATATTATTATTTAGTTCTAATCTTTTATTTTCCAACAGTGATTCGATGCTTTGGTTCTCATTGCTAATTACCTAAGCAAAGAGACTTCCTTACACCTCAGTGGGACTGAGATATCAATTAAATGTTTAAGAATGGACTTAGGCAGCAAAAAGCATAACAAGCTGAAAGGATGTGGATAGTTTTGAAACAGCGTGCTGATATACCACGCTCCTTACTCCAAGTCGATGATTCACAGAGTTCCAAATTCAGAAACAAATGGGAGAAGTGTGACACATCGTTTGTGCATGTAACTTTTCATTCGTTCACATACACTGTTCATTGACATTGTTGGAAATTCTGCATCTGGCCTCCGATCAGTTTCACTCTTAGGAAGCCTTAAACACTATAGCTGTTACTTCTGTGTTGGAGTTACAAGATCTGATCTATGTGGAAGGGGGATCCCAGGTTGTCTGCTCTGAGCTCTCAGTAGAATTGTGGATGGAATTCTTTAGCCAAATGCATAGAATTAGATCGCCGAAGCATTTGCATCTGTGTGTTTCTCACGTTACCAGTCTGGGCATGCAATAAATCAATTCTGGGCTTTACCCACACCACACAAGGCATTCTTCTTCCTAGAAGATTGCTAATGAAGAGATGCTATCAAAGTTCCCTGATTAAGAAATACTAGAACAAGCATTGCTCTGCATGTGACATGGTAGGGAAATAGCAAGACTCCAAATATAGAGGGCTTTACTGCTCAGAAACAACTGCATACGAACCCTGACTCAACCACTTAATAATATTGTAATTTTAAGCAAATTAACTTACCTTTTCTGTCTTTCTCTTACTCATTTGTAAAAATGAACTAATAATAACTTTTATAAGGTTTGAATGAGACTAATGTATATGGAACTCCTAGGAGAGATCTGACAATTAAGAAAAATTATATATTAATTTATGCCATCAAATAATATTCATTCACATGCTACACTCTTCTCCCTGTTTACCTCCAGTGACCATTGCTATGTTGATTTGGACAGTGTTTTGTTGAGATCCATGCTGGCCCCTGCGAGGTTCCCATGCAGAGAGGTAACCACCACTTCCAACTAGAAATCTAAGTGGGCACCCATGACTGGAATGGCAGGGCCATTTGAGAAAGGAGGATTCCTGCTGATCCAGCAGGGTATCTCTTTTTATTTTTGGTGTGAATGTGTTTTGTAGTCTGTAAGTTGTGCTCCCAAGGGACCAAAAATCCCTAATGTCACAATTTCTTTTTTCTATGAAAGCTAGATCTATTGCTGCTGTTGCTAAGATTAGCTCTGCTTTCTTTATTTTACTATTGAACCCTAGCCACATTAAGTTGATTGTCATCTCTATATATAGCTACTCATATTTTCTTTTGCTTAACAGGTAAACTGATCATATATCAAAATCTTTTGAGTGTCATCTACATGAAATGCACTGAGACTGAGTCCTTTGTGTGACGAGAAAGAATATATAAATAACTTTATATGTATCTAAACTTATTGCTATTGGGCATCATTTCTTTAGAGTTTAATAATTAAGAGAGTATACAAAAATTATTAGGAAAGGGCAATATAAAAAAATGTTGATTTACAATGGTCTTCAAAATATAACAATGGTGATTGATCTATACTCACGAGAAATAAAAGGAAATAAGACTTAGCTATAGCAGAAAAGATAGCATCCTGATTCTACAATCAAGATTACTGGAAATGAGAATCTATTTGTATAAATGAAATTTCCATCTAATAAGACTTTAAAAACAGGATAGCTCATCACCAGGCAAAGCAGGATGGATGACTAGATCATTCCAGAGATTTCCTTTAAAAGAACATTTCTGATTTCAGGTTTGAGATTTATAAATCCTAAACAAGAGGCACATCTGCTTTTTATTTTTATGGTTTTATTGCTAGAAAATATTAGATAATTAGGAATGCAAATAACTATCATCGTAATTCTGAATTCGTGATTTTGAACCAAATTCTAAAAAACTTAGAGCAGAATGAGTAGCTCAAATTACGTAAGTTAAAATGATACACTCATGCAATGAAAAAAATTTTACAAAACTAATACAAAATGTTGATTAATAGCAATTTAATTGTTATGATATATGTTTTAATTTAAAATTTCCATTTGGATAAAAAGAACATGTTCTTTTTTAGCTTAATCAGAAAATAACATTACAAGGGTTATATCTTCTGAAAATGAAGCATTAATTTATATATTGAAACAGTTCAGGAGGTTTTATGAATTACCAAGGAACATATTTAGGATGTGATTTGAGAACACAAATCATTTTAGATATTGGCAAAAACATTTTAATATCATTGAGTTGCAAATCATGTTTTACCTATCTGCTAACATTTCTCAATTTGTCCTCAGTTTGGGAATAGATTTTGAGTTCTCACTGATTAATACTTTCCTTACAAATTCTAACCACAGTGGACTTTTTTTCTTTGAATTAACTACTGCCAAGGAAAGCTATATGTGAAATCATTTAACTTTCAATAATTCCCACTGGTTTGGGAAATGTTAAATGCAAAGGCAAAAAGGTATGAAATATTGTTTATGATATCTATGATTTAAAAAAAAAAAAGATCCAGAATTTGCCTTATTTACCTACTTAAATCATCAATATCTTTAGGAATTCCTTTGCTGCTGGACTCACAGGCTGGCCCCTAATTAGTTTATGAATATAGA